AATGAGTCTTTATGGTTACGTGGGACTCTGAGTGTGGCCGTTCACTCTGCCTGTGGTCTACAGCAGCCGGCCTGTATGTTTTTATTGATTACATTTTTCTTCACCGTTTTCAATAGAATAACACATAAAAGTACTCATGTTCCTTCTGTTGATTTTAAAATAAGGTCCATTAATTTTGTGGCTCTTTCTCCAGGTGTGTATGTGTGCGTAGAAGTGGATGGATGGGATTTTTACAACAAACAGGCGAAGACTCACTCTTCAGTCCAGAGTCTCAGCCCACACTGGGACCAGGTCTGACTTTCCTCTCGTGTCCAGTCTGGTCTTCTTTGTCTGGGACTGATGTCCTCACGTCTAGACAGCATCTGTCCTCGGCTTAAGATTAAAAGTCTTCATTGTGGTCGTGCTTTAAACCTGATCAGTGCAGTAGAGTCGACCACATGTAAAGTGGAACATTGAAGTGTCCAATGTCAGCCTTTTGTTTTATTTTTTTAAATGAACAGTTTTTTTCCAACAGGAGCTGACGTTCCAGGTGGACGGAGCTCAGAACCTGAGGCTGCTGTGTGTGAGTCAGTCTGACGGACAGGATGACACCGTGCTGGGAAAAACTACGTTAAAGGTACAAACTTTTCTTGGCTCTTTGTAAATGGTGTGTGTGTGTGTGTGTATATATATATATATATATATATATATATATATATAAACCATTAGTTATTGGTTCGATTGAATAATAAAGGGTAAATGTCTGAAATGAACAAGCTTGAATCATTTAATATTCAGACCAAGATATTCTGGGTGCAAATCAACAAAATTGAAAATAAGAAAAAAATGTAAATGTTTTGAATAATATTCAAAAGTGTACTATATAAGTGTTTGGTATGCTTTAGGTTTCCTGTTTAACTTGTATGTTCTATTTTTGTACCTATTATTTCATGTTATTAATTTATCAAATTTAATATAATATATTTTCTTTTTGTCTTTTCTGTGTGATGTAAATCCTTCAGTTCACTCCAAGTTTCAATTAAATAACTTTAATGTAATTGTTTTGTGTATGTTCGATTAATAATCCAGGAGGTTTGAATGATTGACTTCCATTTACTGTACAGTTTTCAGACAGCAAAAGCCGCCCCCTGGTGGTTCACTACTACTAGTGCTGCTGTTTTCACTATAGGTTTTCAGACTTTTTCAAACACTTGTTCTGCTCTTTGTCTGAGTTTATTTTTAAACTGTTCCACATATTTTAGTTTGTGTCCAAACATTCTGACTTTGAAAAAAATGCTGCTTATTAAATGTGAGAAAGATAATAAAATAAAACCATTAGTTATGTAACTGAAAAATGTGTTTTTCATGTGTATAATTTCTGGCCATTCTTTTAACCTTCTTTGGTTTTCTAATGATTTTGCATGAACAGCTTGAATCTATATCCCAGAGTAAGCGATGGAGGAGACAGACTCTGCAGCTTGGTCCAGTGGAAGTGACGCTGTCCATCAAGTACGCACCTCATCCGCTGGAACCTCCGCTTTCAGCAGCCCCTCCCCAGCCCATCTTCTGTGTCCCCATTGAAACTCTAGCCCAGTACGTTTTGTGAGACCTGAGGAACAAAGCAGGATGTGGATAGGTTGAACTCACCTGGTAAATTGAACGTTTTATTTCCCTGCAGATTTGAAGGGGTTCTGGTACCTCACGTGGTGCAGCGCTGCGTAGAGGAGGTGGAGAGGCGAGGCATGGAGGAGGTGGGAATCTACAGGATTTCAGGGACGTCCAGTGAGATCAACACGCTCAAGGCTGCGTTCAACAGCAGTAAGAACAAACATGATGTTGTATTTGGTGTCGAATTCACACGGTGATGTGAAACATTATCCAAAAACTGTTGTCAACAAGAACATTATTATGGACCACATACTTTTTCAATTTTCTTTGAAAAAGAACTTCAGAATTGTTTAGTGACTGTGAGATCATTTTATCAGAAAACAAAGTAAGAAAAGAAAAGCAGCCCCATACATGTTAGGATTTAAATCTCTGCTGACTCAAATGTACAATAACAAGTCCTAAGACAGGGCTCATTGAGCAGAATTCAACATTGGCTGAATAAGTGAAACAAAGTTGCCTTTGTTGGTTTTTATTGAGGATTTGAGGTAAAAAAAAAGAAAATGTGTCCCACTCAGATCTACGTGAAGCTGTGACCAGGCTGAGGACTGCAGAAGTGAATGTTGTCTCTGGTGTCCTCAAACTGTACTTCAGAGAACTGCCTGAGCCGTTGATCCCCTCTGAGCTGTTCCACCGTCTGGCCAGGACCCTGGGTAAGATGGACGCACCCACCGCAGTCACACTGGGAAGTGACATAACTATTTAAATCGTTATTTTGTTTAATAATATATATTTATTATTTTAGCTTGTAGCATATGATGCATATGGAAAAAATATGCTTTTTTTTTTTTTTACAGTTTATAGATCCATGGGATGTTAAATGTGTTAATTGTTAAGAAAAGCTGCTGATTACACACGTGTGTGTATGTTTTTACATTTCATATTCAACCTTGTGTTATTTTCAGTATTCTAATGTGTGTGTGTGAATCCAGGGATGGTGGGCAGTCTAACTGTATGAGGAAGTGCTTTAGAAGTGAAGTCTGGTGTTCTACTTCAGGATCAACACCTTCATTTAAATGTGTGAAATGAGAAAAAACAAGCGTTCATCTTGATTTTTTTTTTTTTTTTTTTTCCTTTTCTGGTAGAAATTCAGGACATAGACACCCAACACGTGTCCATGATGTCTCTGCTGGAGTCCTTTCCTGACACCAACAGACACACCTTCCTCTACCTCATCCATCACCTCCAACGGTCTGAAACACCCACCATAAAAGATTCATAAATTGCATAAATTATCCTACACACACAGAAAAGTCACCAATATTTTTCATAACATTTTATTTTGTTGTGTCTCAGAGTCTGTAGTCTAACACTCAGTGTCTGGTGTGTCCCCTAAACCTCATTTCTCCAGAGTCTCTGAGAGACAAGACATCAACAAGATGTCACTGCTCAACTTGGCCACAGTGTTTGGTCCTAGCCTTTTACGCCCCCCTGTGGCTGACCTGGGTCATGACTTCGGATCGAACATCTCCCAGGAGGTTGTGGTGCAGGTGTGTTGGATGAATCAAAAGTGCAAAGAAAAATGTAAAACAAATGCAGCTTTAGAGATTTAAAAAAAATAAAAATAAATGGAATATAATGTACTGTTACTTTAATGTGTGCATTCAGAGGACTTGTTCCTGATTAGCTTCTAATCTCCAGGCTGACCCTGGTGTAAACCAAAATTTAACCAAGAGAAAGAAAATTCAGTTAAAATATGTAAAAAACCCAGCAACTGCTTAAAAAGGGCCACACGTTGATTAAGAAGTTAGCTTTAAAGGTATAGATTAGTCTTTTCTCAGGTAACAATAATGAAACCAGGAAAAAAAGTGGAAAATCCAAATGCAGTAGTTAAATGCAGAGGTTAGTAGTTAAAAAGAAACCTAAAAGGCTCAAAATAAGGTATAAGGGAGTGTCTCTAAGTGGACCAAAATAGGATTATTTCAAACCTTGCTATGTAAATAGGCATGTTGTGATTAAATTATTTAAAATACCACCAATGCAGTTCCCTCATTTCAGAATAATAAAACATTACAGTAACATATTTCTATTTTTTCCTCTTTTGTCTACTTTGTATCCATGTGTGTTTCAGGTGCAGGTGATTTTGTGGTACCTACAGTGTCATAACCTCCCTGACCCTCAGATCTTAGTGCCACATGACACAGAGGCAGAAGACTCCTAGACCACCCATGTGTGAGACCACCATCAGTGTCCCTAATGACAACCAGAGAAGATCACCAGTGTGTTTAAAAGAGTGTTGGATGATAAATGTATTTATTGACGCTAAGCTGGTTTGTTTGTACTCAGTTTTGTTACTCAAACAAAGAATAAAATACCTGCGACCCCCCCCCCCATCATACAGGCAGAAAAGCTCTTTATGCTGAAGTTCTTCTGGGTTTATGTTATGCAGCAGAAAATAACGCAGGGTAAATTCCTTTGGTCAAATTGCACATTCTTTCAAAGTTTTAAGTCAAAAATGTTTTCCAGAAATACTCGTATTACTTGAGTGTCAAAAGCAAAACTTAAATAGCCTGACTATATTGAGTATTACATGTATACTGGTATAAAGGTGTAAATACAGTTTAACTAGGTGTATGAATGTGTTCATTTATACATGTATGAACAATGCATGTACTATATATGGGACGTACTGTGTACATACGTATACCTGTGTTCATATGGTTAAATGCATATATTTCACATTCACAATACCCAAAGAAAAAAGTCGTCGTTGCGTTGTTTTGTGTGGTGGTATGGTGGCGTTACATGTTGTTGAATGAGTTGTGTTGGGACCACGTACATGAAAGGGGCATGAACTTTGGCATTGACTGGTGCAGTGACTAAACAAATGTAGGCTTTTCTAATCAGAGGACTATTGATAGAAACCAGCTGCTGTTTTATTGCACTTCACGTACTAGTATTTGTTGACAGTATTTTATTTGTATTCACTCCCTTTCCTTTTTACATTGCAGCCACTCTGTCCGACCTCCTGGTCATTCAGTATGACGGCCACAAGCAACGACAGGATGCCAACTAATGTAGGAAAAAACGTGAGAAAAAGACTTTTTAAAATGGTTTCCTTTTATGCTAGATGAAAGGAAAATCAGAGCAACACTTTGATCTGTTCCAACCAAAACAGGACACCTCACTAAAGAGGTCAACTTCAAGGCAGCGGCACCGACCAATGAACTCTTCTGATCTGCAATGGGAATGGGTTATTACCATAAAAGATGCAGAAAAGGAGGCTCGTGATGTGACGTTGTTCTTGCCTCTGGCCTTTTAACACCACAAAGTAGAATGGATTTCACCGACGGTTGCTGTGGCAGTCCAGCAGCTAGCAAAGAGCTAGCAGATCAGCTAAGGGTACACGTAAAGTCACAGTGAAGGAGGCATTTGTTGCTTTACAACTACACCAGTGTGGGGATTTCAGAGGGGAAAAACAAAAGATGCTGCGGAGAGGCCTCAAGCGTCTGCTTGGTCGTGATGGGACGGCAGAACATCACACAATCTATGTTGGTCAACAACCACCGCCCAACAATGAGATTCTCGTCCATCCCAAGTACAGTGACAACAGAATTGTGTCGTCCAAGTACACATATTGGAACTTTCTACCGAAAAACATGTTTGAACAATTCAGACGAGTTGCCAATTTCTATTTCTTAGTCATCTTCCTGGTGCAGGTGATTGTGGACACGCCCACCAGTCCTGTCACCAGTGGGCTACCTCTGTTTTTTGTGGTCACAGTAACGGCAATCAAGCAGGGCTATGAGGACTGGCTGCGGCACAAGGCTGACAGGGAGGTGAACAAGTACCCAGTGACTGTTCTGGAGGGAGGTCGGAGGGTAGGGAAGGAGAGCGAGCAGATCCGAGTGGGTGATATTGTGGAGGTGAAAGAAGACGAGTCCTTTCCCTGTGATTTGATATTGTTGCAGTCAAGTCGAGACGATGACACTTGTTTTGTCACCACTGCCAGTCTGGACGGAGAGTCTAGTCATAAAATCCACTACGCCGTTCCGGACGTAGACCCCGCTCTCAAATCTCTCAGCGCCAGCATCGAGTGTGAACGGCCGCAGCCTGATCTTTACAAATTTGTTGGCCGTATGCATATCTACACCAAGAACAACCAACCTACAGTGAGGTCTCTGGGTCCAGAAAACCTGCTCTTGAAAGGGGCAATCCTGAAGAACACTCAGACCATCTATGGTGCTGCAGTTTACACTGGCATGGAGACCAAGATGGCCCTCAACTATTTGTCCAAGTCCCAAAAACACTCAGCAGTGGAGAAGTCCATCAACACCTACCTTTTTGTTTACTTGTGCATCTTAGTAAGCAAGTCCATCGTGTGCACCACTCTGAAGTACACGAAACAGAGCGGGCTGGACCAAGGTGGGCTTTGGTACAATGAGAACACGCAGAAGGACAAGGACATGAATCTGCTCCTAAAAATGTTCAACGACTTCCTGTCTTTCATTGTGCTCTTCAACTTCATCATCCCTGTGTCCATGTACGTGACGATTGAGATGCAAAAATTTTTGGGATCCTTTTTTATCACATGGGACAAGGACTTTTTTGACCCTGAGATTAAAGAGGGGGCTCTGGTGAACACCTCAGACCTCAACGAGGAGCTGGGGCAGGTAGAGTATGTCTTTGCAGACAAGACGGGGACACTCACACAGAACAACATGGAGTTTATAGAGTGCTGCATCGACGGATACCGATACAACTGCCAGGATCTTACCTTGTCTCTGGACGTGTCTATGAGAAGTCACCAGAGAGCCAGCATTGAACGAGAAGAACTCTTTCTGCGTGCCCTGTGTTTGTGCCACACAGTTCAGGTTAAGGAGCACACAGAACAGGACCGGGCCTCCAGTGTATCGCTGAAACAGAGATTGCAGTCACGCTTCATAGCTTCTTCGCCTGATGAGGTGGCTCTGGTCAAGGGGGCCATGAAATATGGCTTCACCTTCATGGGTGTCAAAAACAGAACCATAAGAATTCTCAATAGATGCAATGAAGTTGAAACATACGAGCTCCTGCACGTGTTGACCTTTGACCCCGTGAGGAGGCGTATGAGCGTCATCGTCAGATCCAAGCAGGCTGGAACTCTGCTTTTCTGTAAAGGGGCAGATTCCGCCATTTTTCCATGCGTCAGTCCAGAGGGACTTTCAGGGACACGCTTGCATGTGGAGCGTTATGCAACTGAAGGCTACCGGACATTATGCGTGGCCTACAAACGTCTCACTGCAAAGGAGTACCTAGAGGCAGACGAAGGGCTGAGAAATGCCCGACTTGCACTTGAGGACCGAGAAGAGAAGCTGATGGCTGTTTACAGTCAGGTGGAGTCTGGGATGAGCCTCCTAGGAGCCACTGCTGTTGAAGACCGTGTCCAGGAGAAGGCAGCAGAGACCATGGAGGCGCTGCAGGCAGCTGGCATCAAGGTTTGGGTCTTGACCGGGGATATGATGGAGACGGCCAAGTCCACCTGCTATGCTTGCAGGTTGTTTAAAAAACATACACAGATTTTGGAGCTAACGGTGCGCACTCTGAAGGCTGGAGGGAGAAGGCGTGAGAAGGAGCTGCACAGTCTTTTGAATAACTATGGGAACATTGTGGAAAATCTACCAACTGGCACCAAGAACAGGTCGTCTCGGACCCATGACTATGGTTTAATTATAGACGGAACGGCTTTGTCGGTAATGCTCAATGTCTCCACTGAATCCAGATATGTTAAATACAAGAACCTGTTCCTTCAAATCTGCCGAGGCTGCACAGTCGTGCTCTGCTGCCGCATGGCTCCCTTGCAAAAGGCCCAGATCGTTAAATTGGTGAAAGACACCGAAGGCAGTCCCATCACTCTCTCCATTGGAGATGGTGCCAACGATGTCAGCATGATTTTGGAAGCTCACGTTGGTATTGGCATTAAAGGCAAAGAGGGTCGCCAGGCAGTGAGGAACAGTGACTACGCCATTCCCAAACTCAAGCACCTCAAGAAACTTTTGTTGGCTCATGGACATCTGTACTATGTTCGTATTGCGTACCTGGTGCAGTATTTCTTTTACAAGAACCTTTGCTTCTTCTTGCCACAGTTTTTGTACCAGTTCTTCTGCGGCTATTCCCAGCAGCCCCTGTTTGACACGGCCTACCTGACTATGTACAACATCTGCTTCACCTCCACTCCCATCCTGGCCTACAGTCTCATGGAGCAACATATTCCCATCAGGGCTTTGATGGACAACCCCAGCCTCTATAAAATGATCTCCAAGAATGCCATGTTACGTTGGGGACCCTTCCTCTACTGGACGTTTCGCGGCATCTTTCATAGTCTGCTCTTCTTCTTCAGTGTTTATTTTCTGTTCAGTAACCCTGCATTGCAGGACAACGGACAGGACTTTGGAAACTGGTCGTTTGGAACAATCATCTTCACTGTCCTTGTGTTCACCGTCACATTAACCCATGCTCTGGACATACGGTTCTGGACCTGGATCAACCACTTTGTCATCTGGGGATCCTTGACGTTCTATGTTGGTTTCAGTCTGGTCTGGGGAGGAATCACGTGGCCTTTCCCAAGGCCACAGCGGTTGTACTACGTGTTTGCCTACATGATGAGCTCCGCCTCTGTTTGGTCCGTCATCTTCTTGATCGTTCTGCTCTGCCTGCTGCCCAAGACTGTGCTTGTGGTGCTGTGCAACATCAGACCTGAGGGAGAATAATATGAGTGAAAACTGTGATTGCGGTGGTCAACAGTACGTTCAGGAAGTGAGCTGCTCTGGGACTGAACATCTCATTTATGGGATTCATTTTTTTCCTGTTTAAAATAATAATAATAAAAACCCCAAAAAACTGTCTCCAAATTTGTGAAATTGTAAAGACATTTGTCTCTTGTTATGTAACCCGCGTATGCCTTGTGTCAAACTCGAGGCCCGTGGGCCAAATGTGGCCTGCCAAGTCATTGTGTGGCCCGCAGGAACGTTTAAGCGTTTAAATGCCTTATACTATTAAAAAAAAACAGCAATGTAGACTATTTGTAACTTGAATACATCATAATTAATAGCAGTACATTTTATTAATATGTTGTAGTGTAAACACATCATCTACAGTCTTCCAGATACAAGAGGCCCTTCAAGGGGACGTGTACTGTTGACGTGCCCTCTCACCCCCCAGTGAAAATAAGTTTAATACCCCTGACATATGCCGTTTATTTTTATTGTACAAAGATTGGTAGATGTGGAACTTATCAATATTCATTATACTGATGTAAAAGAATCTAAACTGGTGACACCTAAACACAAGGTGGGCTGGTTTGGTGTGTGTTCTTGGTTTGGGCAGATTTTCCACCTGAATTTTCAAGTTTCTACGTCATTCTGTTTTAGTGACTTCAAACCAGAAGTAGCAATTTGTGTCTGACATGTCTTTGGTGTGATGCTTTGCTGTGTACTCTCAACGTTTGCCACCATGTACTGCCATATACAGTATACTGTAGTACTTAACACAGATGGAGGTACTTGTTGTCAAATTCAACTGATGGCTTCATCAACTCCCCCTCAGCTTTGTTCCTCTGGTTGATTAAGTCAAAGAGTGTGTGTGAC